AAACCCACAAAGGTTGTAATATTTGTCATTGCTAAAAATATCTGGGTTCTGACCACCGAAGACGATGCACTTTTCATTATCGTCTCTACGGTAAAAGGCAAGTCATTCAGACTCGATACGTTTACTTCTCTTTATGTTTTGATTAGAAATCAAAAATTTTGATTTCTACCATTCGAATCTACTTAATAAGCTTTTTGAATCATGACCGAAAAATCATCAAATCTGCGGTAAATTTGATAAAGGAATGACGAGTAATATATCAGCGCTTCCTTTCCAAACAATTCCGACTTTATCAAATTAGGCTCCCTGTAAGCGTTGCGGGACTAATAGCCGTTTCGGCTGCAAATCAGCTTAGGACGGCTCACTTTCGCTTACTGATCCTATTATACGAACTTAAAGGGATTTACCATTACGTCGCCTTCCTTGTGGACTTAGTTTTGACTTCTGTAGTTTGTTTGATAGTGCGATTTTGGTTAACGTTTCTATTGTTGTTTATGTTTTTATTCTTAATATGTGAATTATCGCAGTGCCTTGATTCTTTTATTTGTATGTTCATGTTTTTTAATATATATCTCTAAGTAACCTACCCACTTAAGAGATGCGTTAATAAAATGCCAAGGCCTCTATCTTTACATTCATCTTTTAATTTTATATTATTGTACATTACTGTTTTATTAAAAAAGAAAATAGACTTACCATCTAGAGTTTTCTGTAATTTTTCTTTTTTCTTATATAGCCCTGTCGTGAAATAATTAGTGCAATATGTTACATATTCTTTGGCCATAATACGGTGGTCTTCGAGAATGGTAAGATATCATAAGAGGATTGATAACATAATATATTCATATGGTATTAATTAATCCTTATAGACGTTGTTGATCACTTACCTTTTGATGGATTATCAGCTTACTGCCCTTTTCAACCGACTTCAAAGAAGGAGGTTTTCAATTCGGTTGTATTTTATGTTTTTTACCTCTTAACTCCGTCATTTTTAACCAATTTGGAAAATGCTTTTTTATCTGAAAGAATACTCTTTCAAATTGGTCCCAAAGAAATTTTATCAAAATCGAATCAAGAATTTTATTTTTAAATACCTATAATTTTTTTTACCGCGATTGAAGTCGATGTATTTTTTTAAATATTTTAAATTATCCGATATCTAAAAGCATATATTCAAGAATTTCTTCTAAACAACTCAAAGGCATACAAAATCGTGTTAATAATAGAAATTTACATCAGTTCATAAAATTAAATAAATCCTCCATTGAATGTCCGGAGACGCTATCTTGCAAACTAGGTTATAACAGAGTTCGCTGCTGGATCGATCTTTTATTAGCTTCGTAAATCGGCCAGTTTGTCTTCGATTTCGGATAATCGAAAGGTTATGCTTAATTTAACGATTTATTATCGAATCGGACAACGAATGAATTCGTCGATTTTATACGTACAAATGCCATAAAAGTAAAATCGATTTGGTAATAAAAATTGGACGGAAACTAGGTAAGAATTGGTACTAAATTGAATTCAATACACGATGTCGTAATATGATGTTTGTAAGTGGAATTCACCATATTTCAATTGCAGGCTTGTTTACATTTGTTTTATTTTTTTTTTTTAATTCCAAATATAACTTCAGTAGAAGTTTTATCTTTTATAGACTTGCGTTGTGGTTATTATATTTATTATTTTTGCGTTGGGGTTATAGACGGAAATTAACGCAATTATTCAGATAATCCATAATAATTTATTATGATTATTTATTATTGTAAAAATCTCTCTCTTATTCGTAATTTATACTCAATTTTATTGTCCTTTATAAACCGAGGAATTTTCAAAATATCGAATGATGTTTTCTCAGCCACTTTTACTTGGCTTTTTACTTTGGCTGGTCTATCGACTATCGACTCGACTCGACTCGACTAGATTAGATTAAAATTATTTTGTTTAATTCAGCTACCATTAGTATGTGTGCGACTGTCAACAGTTAAATGTTAACTGCTATTATTATCAGTAGAAGTTCTACGACCTTAGTCATCGATCTCCGACCGCTATCCAGTCCATCCACATGTTGCGTGTTTCACCTAATGATAGGGGAATTATCCAAAATAATTCTAATCAGTACTATGGATTTTCGCAAAATAACACCTAGTTCAATATTTTTTTTTTTTTGGGTTCAACAATCATTAAAAATTACATACCGTCTGTCTTTTATCTATATCATATATGTTGATTATATATTATATATGTATCTATTGATATTATATATGTTCTTATTTTATTTATTTATTACTAACTCCAAAAGAATGAGGTGCACAATTCGTCAAATTTTTTTTCGACTGACACTCGATTACGTCGCCAATTCTGAACCCCTGGTGTTGGCCCCCTTTTCCTTTAGTGACGATTGAAGCTATCATTTTCCTTGTGGAGCAGAAAGCTGCTTGTCACTTGGTTGTTTATTTCACAGTAAAATATATACGGAAACAAGTTCGATCTTCAACAGATGTCAAAAAGAAGTAGGTTTTTTGTGTGCTACCTCTTGACTCCGTCAGTTTTAAACCGATTTGGAAATTTCTTTTTTTATCTAAAAGGATGTATTTAAAGAGTACTCTTATAAAAATTTTATTTAAATTGGTTCTGTAATTTAGTTTTTAAATAAAAATTACTGGTTTTGCCATAACTGAAATTGTGTTTTTTTTTGCGGATCTTTAATTAATTACGTAGGAATATACTTACTTATTACATGTATTATTACTTGTATGTTCAACGTTCTTTACTCATAAATTCGTCGATTCCAGGTATCTAATTATGATTTGACCTTTCAACACACCTACATCCTCGACGAACGCAACTAGGACGCCCTCTATCAGCAGACTATTATTACCAACACACATCTACAAACAAGCGACGTAGCTCTTTTCAGTAATAAATAAATGAAACACAAAGAGGTCTCCCTAAGTTGGCGTTAGAAATAAAAATATTGCCGAGCGACTCATCTCATTACTTATTCCGTTTGGACGATTTGTACTGTGTATTGTTTTTCCAGGGTTTCGCATAGATATTGAATATTATACGAAAATTGTGTTATAAGCGTGTACTTTATGGGGCAGAACGAGCCTTTAAATATTTGAGTTGAATTACGGCGCTGGTGTTTTTTTTTTTTTTATTTTGATGTTCGAGAACAGAATGTGTAATTTTGAATGTTTAAGCAAATATGGCACATGAAATATTACGAAATTCGAAATTCAATGTTTATGAACGTCTGTTTAATGTTGTTAAAAAAATGGTTTACCAACTGACAGTACCCCTGTCAGTTCCTAATAGGTACAATAGGTTACTTGTTATATATATTAGTCGAATTATATGTCTATAAACAATATGGAGCTTCGTCCTAGAACAAAGGTATGAGTACCTTCTGACCCAACTGTTTTTATCCACATCAATCATCTAGACAACTTTTGTACAAAGTCTTTTCTTAAAATCAGTTTTGAAATCAAAGAGTAAACAATAAAATACTAATATTCATTTTGTTTTTTAATCTTTGTTTGCATGGTTGTGTTTCAGTTTGAAGTGTGGGATATGGCGTGAATTTACAGGGTACAGAGGAATAACACCTGAGTCCTCAGGAATGGCAACGCATGGGAGGTATCATGGGCGAAACAGTATACTCTCTTATGTCCATGGTACTGCTCATGTCTATAAACGACGGTTACCACTTTCCATCAGGTGGGCCGTCAGCTTGTTAGCCATTCTACGTTGTATAAAAAGAATCTAAATTTCATACGAGTATTTGCACGTTTGATCTAAGCAGATTCTGTAAAGTACTTTTAATTTATAAAGTCTAATGTTTTATACCCAAAACCATAGCTAATAAAATTATTATTATTAATTGTGAAGAAATATTGGCGTGTCATAATCAAACACTAATTAAATTTCTGTACCAACCAATCGATTCATTCATTATTTATATAATAAAACGTTTTAAAAGAAAGCTACAGCTGAGACTCTTGCTCGTTCTTCTTGGCTGAAATTGTGTTTCGAATGGGCGGTAATTACAGATGGGCAAAGCACCGGGTTTAAACCCGGTGCTTTGGTAAAAACCCAATAAACACCCATAAACTCCCATAATCACCCAAAAAAATAGGTTTTTACGTATTTTTTGAAAATATGTAAGTAATACCAATAAATTATTTTTATAAATTGTATTGATCAATTCTACAATATTAAATAAAACGTTAACTAATAATATTTCAGGAAATTTTAAAAATCTATATATAATAAAATGAAAGTAATTAATTTTCAGTGTTTTCATGTTGCAGTTGATCAACATGTTGGCCTTTTGCTTCCCGTAGATACTTTAAAATTTCTTCATAACACCTCGTTCGCACACATGGCCGTATATATTTAAATTCTTGAGCCACTAACAGTCCGAAATACTCATTTCTTTTATCCTCTTCTCCATAAATTAAGCATTTAGAACAGTTTGTTTCTTCTTTCAGTAAATTTTCTTTTACTTTATCCTCGTTTTTTTTCATTGTTGCGACGACGCTGGGTAAATCATCTGGACACTGGGTCTCACTATCGCCAAATATATTTGGAGATCGGCTTCGGCTACGGCTTGGCAGACATTTTTTTCTTTCTACAATTTTAAATTAAATTTATTAGAATAAATGCTTCGAACACACGCGATCTAAGTACCTTTTGTGTTTATTATACCTTACCTACCTAGGTATAAAAAGAGTACTTACGTAGATTTTCTTTTATTAACTGTTTTATACGAAGATCTTGATCTCTCAAATTAGCATCCATTTTACTTCCAGTGATTATCAACTAAATTAATAATCCACAAAGTATTAAATAACGTTTTTATGAAATATTTAGCACAAAAACAATACCCTTTAAATATCGATCGTCAGTAACTGTGGCTGACTTACCTATATTCTAGCAAGCAGGACTGCCAGATGTGAAGGGGAAATCCCCAATAAATTGTTGCATGTGACTGATGATGTGAGCATGTTCGTTTCATAATAAAAATGTTGCCAGGTAACCAAAAAGTCGTATGTTTTTGTGCGAATTACGATCATAATCTTTACGATCGTACATTAAAAAATAGACAAATAATAGTATGAGTACGATTTAAATCGTATATCTGTCAACCCTGCTAGCAAGACAGCGACAAAATCACGTTGCATAACAATGTAGCCCAAGCTTATATCTTATGAAATATACGGAAGAGATACGGACTTAGAAAAAACAGAAATGTTGTTCTTTGTGGAAGTCATTGATGAAATTCTATGTATTTTAGCCCGCAAACTTTCTTCAAACAAAAACAGCGCCATCTAGTATCGAGTTCTGTAATTATCTCTTTGTTTATGGATTTGAAGTAAGACCGCCACGCTTGCAATACATTATGACTGGGGATTCCCCTATTCGTCGACGCTGAATATGAGGCGACGACAATCACTGTCAAACGTGTTCACTATTACTCTGACTCTGGTAACGTGACTTCCTGGTAACGTGTTAGGTAGGAAAAGCAGTAAAAAAGTGCATATTAAGGGAGCAGATTTGAAATAATATTTATACTTAACAAGAAATAATTAAAGGTAAGTGGATTTTTGAATGATACAATTATATCATGATCACTTAACAATTTTAACTTAAAATTAGATGTATTATTACAAGCTTTTATTTAGCTTGCGTTATGTAAATAAAAGTATGTAGGTATGTTCGTATGTTGATGCAATTATCCTCAATCCTCAACCGACTGGGATAAAATTTTCCATACACGTTTATTTTGGATGATAGTGCATAGTTAGCTGAGAGTCGTCATTGGATAATAATGGTGGATAGCCTAAGATGTGTACTAGATATTTATTTTTAACATAATATGCGTAAGTACCTAATCGAATTAAAGAAGTTGCTGAGAAAAATACAGAACAATACGATAATAAACTAGCGTCTGCGTTTAATCCTCCGAGGAGATGTAATTTTACAAAGGTTTTTTGTATTTATTTTATTATTTTTTTAATAAATTTATTGTAAATAACAAGAAATAATCATTGTAAAAAAATAGGCACTCTATTGTTGAATTTTCGTCAGACCAACTAATCATCGTTCATTTTTTTTTAGGTTCAATGGGGAGACCTAAAGATTTACGCATATGGGAGCACTACCGTACTTTACCAAACAAGTCTGTTTCTTGCAAGCTTTGTAATAAGGTCTACAAATTCAGTAATGCTGCCAAAATGCTTCAACATCTTATCACTTGTCCAAAATCTCCAGAAACATTAAAAGACTCTATGAAACTTATAAAAGATAGCTCGTCCAAAACCAAAATGTCTGGACTGTCAGAGATAGAGACAAATGATTCTTTTATAAGCCCCTCGTCGTCTGCTAACACTACAATAAATGCTGAGTTTCAAGACACCGATGATCATTTAAAACAGAATTAGCGAGAGCTATATTTGTAACAGGGACGCCATTATCGATGGTGCAACATCCTTTATGGATACAATTTTTCGAAAAATTGCAACCAAAATTTAAAATACCTTCACGTAAAGCTTTAGCGACAAAATACTTAGATAAAATATATAGAGAAATGCGTTTTGAGTTAAATGAGGAACTAAATGCTTGTAGTTACTTACACCTTCAGTGCGATGGCTGGTCTAATTTAAGAAATGAAGGAATAATAAACTTTCTTATATCAAAACCTCAACCTGCATACGTTAAAAGTTTGAATACAGAAAGTAATCCTCACACTAGTGAATACCTTAGCCAAGAAGTTGAAAAAGTAATGAAAGTGTATGGAGCAAATAAGTTTCTTGTACTTATTGGCGATAACGCTAGAAATATACAAAAGGCATTCGAATTAACAAAACTCAAATATCCACATGTTGTTCCTCTCGGTTGCTGTGCACATATCCTTAACTTGTTGTGCCAAGATATTGTAAAGATACAAGAAGTAACTGTGTTTATTATGCAAGCCATAAATATAATAAAAACTGTTAAAAGGAGTCAACGATTAAGTTCCTTGTTGATAAAATCAAGGCAGGGTGAAGATTCTACACAAACACTAAAATTGCCTTGTGCTACAAGATGGGGAAGTCATGTTACTTCGTTAAAAAGTTTGAAAGCAAATAAGATAGCTTTGCAAATATTAACAGTTAGAGAAGATGTGGTAATTTCAAGAGATATTAAAGATTTAATTCTAAGTGATGATTTCTGGACGAAGACAGGGGAATGTATAAGTATTTTGGAACCAGTCACTGAAAGCATATTTTACTTAGAGAGCGACCAGAATCGTTTGCATCGCACATACATTACATTTAGAGATGTACAAGCTAAGATACGTTTTGCATTAAATGAGATTTCGACATTGAGCGAAGAAAGCAAACAGCAGATTCTAACATCAGTATCTTCAAGATGCAATATGGCAATGAGGCCAATACATTTTGCAGCATATATTCTAGACCCCAGGACTCTAGGAGTCGAACTTACTCAAGAGGAAGAACTTAAGGGTATGGAGTTTATCTACAATTTAAGCCAACACTTAAGTTTGTCAAATGTAATGGCAGATTTGGCGTGTTATAAAGCTAAAGAAAACTTTTGGGCCAGAGGATTTGTATGGAGCTCATTAGATAGCATTGAGCCCCTAATATGGTGGAAAGGTATTTGTGGTTCCACTGAGTTAAGCAAAGTAGCGATTCGTATTCTATCAGCTCCCTGTACTTCGGCAGCCACTGAGCGTTCCTTTAGTATCCAAGGCTACATACATAATAACAAAAGAAATCGACTTACAACTGAAAGAACTGAAAAAATTTCATTCATTTGTTATAACTGGAATCTTAAACATAAAGCTGAATGCGAGGACATTCAGTTTAATGAAGAAAATACCTTAGAAGCTTTCATTGAGCAAGTAAATGAACATAACAGTTTAGACGAAATAGAGCCTATCGAACCTATACAATTCATCGCTTGTAATAACTCTGAATCTGACAGTGATTGACTGTAGTTTTACATTTTACTTTCATCTCTTTCTTAATAAACTCAAAATCAAATTAAAAGTTTTTTATTCTGTAGGCTGCATAATAATATTGTCTATGTCCAGTATAGTGGACGTCTTGCGGCTGAGATGACGATGATGAAGTACAAAATCATAAACACCCAAAAATTTGGGTGTTTATGGGGTTTAAACCCAATAAACCCAAAACACCCGGTTTTACCCACCAGACTTTAAACCCACCCAGGTGGATTGCCCATCTCTAGCGGTAATGAATAAAAATGACTATTCAAAAATGCTTAAATCTAGTTTAATAAAAATGTTTCTTTTTTTTTATTAATTGTTTCTTTCGTTCTTCTTTCTTTTTTTCATTCATTATTTCTTTCACGTCACCAACCAACTTTCTACTCTAGCTTCTTGCCACTACGAGTATGCAATGAACAGTATACGCCATTATGTCGATCTAGGACTTTTCTTGTCCGGCCATCTTTATTTTTCTTGAATTTATATAACGAGTTATAAGAGGCGGTACCCTAAAAACATTCTTTTGTATTACAATACGATTATTATCTTTGTTCTTATTGCGAAGATTTCATATTATTTCGTAGAATAACATTTACCGACAATAAGCAAAATACAAAAAATAATATAATTGCCAATTAATACCGATCTAGGTTTATAACATTGCAGCTTTGATAGTCTCTGAGTTACTTTTAGTTCTATTCTGACTTTTTACTAAAAGAAACCAAGATATTGTAACCGTTCAAGTCACCCTTTGTGCTAAAAGCAATTTTCTTTATTACTTGCTGTGCTTGCAAATTCGAAAGTACTATGTAATATGTAAGGGGTTGAGGCATTGTCAGTAGTGGGGACTAGTGATCCCATTTCTAGTAATGCACCCTGTCAGGTTGACCTTTAAACATTGTCTTCTATAATCTTTACTTTTTTCAAAATTATCTTTAAATTTGAAAAAAAAAATTGCATTTTTGGAGGGTAATTTTTAAAATGTTCTATAGTCTATGTACATAGATACATCTACATCATCATCGTCATTTAAGCCATTGTTTGCTGCTGGATTTGGGCCTCCCCCCTAGTTTATATAATGACGTATATTTAACTTTATATATTGTAAAATTTTCAACACTAATATTTCAGCCATTTTCATGTGAAATGTGAAATGAAACACAAAGAGAGAAAATTTATAAATCCATCGTTTTCGATTTAGTAACGCACGGTCAGTATATACCTACAATGGGATAAGATTTATACATTTTTTAAAATAATTAATTTAGTTTAGTACTAATGACATAACATATACACAAAAAATACAGATTAATATTTTGAGAATCTCTTAATAGGAATCATGAGGTTATTAGTCAATTAATCGTAGTTTTCACGACTTATTTATTTGTTTATTATTTTACTTGAAACAAGAGATACATGGTGTTACATATAAAAAGCATAAGTACATGTTTCACCATGCTTAAGCATGTGAACGTTGGGTCCTTAACATAATTATGTTAATTGAGGGGAAGGGATTGTTAGTAATGCGGACTACTATTTCCTTTGCTAGTAATATACCCTGTCAAGTCGACTTCCACGTGGTCCGCCTTGAAAACCTTCGTGTTGAATTTCATATGTATTCATCACGATGGGCCAACTGACCTGCTTTTTTATTCTCACCCTTAAATGGTGACACACATCCATTAAAAAAAACTATTTTTATTTATGTTTTTTCAATATGTGAGTGTTAATTTAAAAATTTATTTGTTCCATTATATTCATTAACATTTTAACACTTGAAGTTAGTGTTGTTTTCCGGAGCAAAATGTAACCATTGCCACACGAAATAACAACCGTTTTGTACAAACAAGCTACAAAACTAGCAAAGCTTTCATTTATCTCCACACCCACACTTGACAATACATCATCCCACCCGTTCACTTCATAAATATTCGTGTACGGAACCTTTTTACTATGCACCTGTTCATTTCCGACCTGTTTCATCTTGAAATGGCCACTGTTTGTGAATATCGTGTTTTTTTTTTTTACTCATTTGTAATTCAATACCTTTTGGCTGGCTGTGATTTTGTTCTGTTTGATTAATTTTAGAATTTATTTTTTAATGAATGATAATGGAATGGTAACTCCGCTTCCGCTGTGCGGGGGAGCACCAATGAGAGATGATAGATGAGGATGAAAAGCCCATCATCATCAAAGGTGATGAAATTACCTAAAATAAGCATCATGTTTTCCAGGGTGGACAGCGCGAAAGTAGATCTTGGGATATATCGCTAGCAATAGGAAACGATATGAACCGATACGACAACCTAACCATTAAGAAAAAGTCATATTTCTTTTTAAAAGGCCGGCAGCACACCTGCAATGCCGCTGGTGTTGTGGGTGACCATGGGCGGCGGTAGTCACTTACCATCAGGTGAGCCGCACGCTCGTTTGCCCCGTGTTGTAAAAAAAAATTAGAACCCGTTACGCCCTCCTTCTTGATTTTAAAATATTTAATTGTAGAAAGTATTGAATATTTTTTTTTTTTTTTTTTTTACAACACAGGGGCAAACGAGCATGCGGCTCACCTGATGGTAAGTGACTACCGCCGCCCATGGGCACTCACAATACCAACGGCATTGCAGGTGTGCTGCCGGCCTTTTAAAGGAATATACTCTTTCTTGAAGGTTATGTTGTCGTATCGGTTCGGAAATACTGCGGCTCGCAGTTGATTCAAAGAATGGTTGTGCGTGGAAGAAAGTGCCTTGAAAAACGCACGGTGGAAGACCGCCACTCGTCCAGATGATTGGGATGAAACTTTAGTTTGTGGCGGGTTGTACGGTGGTGAAAATCAGCAGCAGGTATCAATCCGAACAATTCCTCAGAACACTCCCCATGATAAATTCGGTAGAAGATGCACAGAGATGCAACATCTCTGCGCAGTTTCAATGGGTCAAGTCGGACAGTAAGGCGTTGACTATCGATAATTCGAGCCGCCCGACTTTGAATGCGGTCTAACGGAAGGAGTTGGTACTGTGGCGCTCCTGCCCACAGGTGAGAACAGTATTCCATATGCGGCCTGACTTGGGCTTTATATAATTTCAGGCGGTGTTCTGGCATGAAATATCGTCTCACCCTATTGAGCACTCCTAACTTTTTGGAAGCTATCTTAGCCTTCTCCTCCAGATGACCGCAAAACTGGACGTCGCAAGATATATCAACGCCCAGAATTCCTAGACTTGACTTTTTATCGAGGGAAGTGCCCTGAAAGTGAGGAGATACGACAAACGGCGTCTTTTTGCGGTAAACGCGCAGACTTGTGTCTTTTTGGGGTTAAATTGGACAAGATTTTGTTCACCCCAGATCGAAACTTGATGGAGTGAAGTTTCGATTTCAGACCTAAGTCTATTCCGGCACTCATCGGTATGTGCCCGCGAGATCTTTGCATGACCGGTATATAATGTATCTCCTGTACTGTCGTCCGCATAGCAATGAATATTACTTATCTGTAACATATCATTGATATGCAGAAGAAACAGAGTCGGAGATAGTACACAGCCTTGCGGGACACCAGCATTCAAAGGTTTTAAATCAGAGCATGCACCGTCGACTACGACCTTAATGCTACGTTCCTTGAGAAAACTGGCGACCCAAATGCACAGTCTCGCAGGCAACCCAAATGAAGGTAGCTTTGAAAGCAGCGCTCTATGCCACACCCGATCAAGGCCTTCGCAATATCCAGACTAACTGCTAGCCTCTCCCTTACTCTCGATTGCCACTGCCCATCGGTGTGTTAAGTAAGCTAAAAGATCACCAGCCGAACGTCCCTGTCGAAAGCCGTACTGGCGATCACAGATCAGCTGGTGCTCTTCTAGGTACCGGAGCAGTTGACGGTTAATGATGGATTCCATAACCTTCGAGAATAAGGAAGTGATAGCTATGGGCCTATAGTTAGCTGGATCTGAGCGATCTCCCTTTTGAGGGATCGGATGCACCAGAGCAGTCTTCCAAAACTTTGGGACTATGCCCGATGAGTAGCTAATCCTAAAAAGACGCGTAAGAACCGGAGCCAACTCTGGTGCGCACGTCCTAAGCACAATTGGAGGAATACCATCAGGCCCACTCGACTTATGGATTTCGAGGGAGAAAAGTGCTCTACGCACTGAGCTATGCGTGAATTTAATGTCAGGCATAGAGCTCCTACAACACGTGATGGTCGGTGGTGGTTTCTCCCCGTCATCCAATGTCGAGTTTGACGCAAAGATGGATCCAAGAAGATCGGCCTTTTCTTTAGCGTTCTGGGCCAACGAGTCATCCTCCCTGCGCAAAGGTGGAAAAGATGACTTACAGAAATTCCCTTGTGCAGCTTTGGCAAGAGACCAGAAAGCTCGAGTCCCAGAGGGCAAACTAGCCAATCTCTTGCCAATTCTACTAATATGCTCTGACTTCGCTGTGGCTATAACTCTTTTGAAGGACCTAGAGGCAGACATACTTCTTTTTAAGAGCACTGGTGTTAGGATCTCGCGACGCCGCACTTTTAGCCCAGATTAGGAAGCACTCCTGTTTCAGACGAGATGCTGTTCTACAGGGCTCCATACCAGGGCTGGGATTTCCGCCGACGGGCACCACAGAGTTAGGAATAAATAATTCCATTCCCTGAAGCACCACATCAGCAATGGAATCGGCAATGGCGTCGGGATCATCCAGTGTGAAGCAAACCCGCCTCCATGGGTAAGATGCGAAAAAAATCCGCATCTCATCCCAATCTGCCGACCTGTAGTGCCAAATGCGACGTCTACCCGTAGAACGAGGTGAGTCGGACTCGTAAGAAAGCACTTCGCTCCGCACCAAACAGTGATCCGACGATCAAGCGGGGCTTCGGCCACGGAGATCACATAGTTGTCTGGGTGGGTGGTCAGCAGAAGGTCCAGCAGTGAAGGTGAATGGTCCAACACATCATATTTATTGAATGAATATTTTAAAAGTGGTTTAATGCAAATGCGCATACATTTTGTTTTTATTATATTATATTGTGATGGGAATTTTCTGTGAACATATAATCATACCATATCAGCTGTTAACTGTCCACTGCTGAACATAGCCTCCCCCTCCTATCCCCGCAAAAGGGGGTTTTGCCAGTACTTGCTCGGTAGGCGGGTTGGCAGCCGCAATAAAGATTTGGTAATGTTTTAATATTGCTGC